TTCCTTCTTCTCGTCACAGGCCGGGGACAATTAAAATGTCTCGTCCTGTAATTTTAATGAGAATGTGAATGCCATACCATATCGGATAACGTTACCGATATAACCCGTCACTATTGCAGGTAAATAAGTAAATTGTAAAAATACAGAAAATCGAGTAAAACTATCAGCCCGTGTACCGTAAGTAGTAGACGTCGTAGTCGTAGTTAATTGTGCTAGTCTATCAGTACGAGTAGGTCAACAGTTTAAAATAACCGTATTTAAGAATAAAATGCATGATGAATATGTCAAATCAAAATACAATTATATTTGAATGACCTGCAAATTAACATACAAATAGGTCAATCGTCGAAGTTGAATAGTATGTTAATCTGGCATAGAGTCAAGCTACACGCAGCCAATGCCTCTGTGTGCGAGCGAGGCATTGCATACGCACACGCACGCACGCTCGCACGCTCACACCTACATGCGCACTCAGGCACACCGAGACAGAGGCCCTGGCTACAAATGTAAGTAAAGACTATTCGTGCGGCCGAAACAAGTGCAATTTAGTTGAGCTCGAGTTGTTTATAATCGTAAACATGTTCGTCTCGCATTTATTACGGACTTGCGTGACTAACGGATACGCGTGATTTAAGGTAGATGCACGGACTGCTAAATGTAATGCTTATTACACGAATAATATGTCGCTTCGGTATAAAATGGCGCTTTACAAATCATAAGCCGAGTGCACACGAAGCATTCTTTGAAAACCCAGTTTTTGCCTCGTTTAGACGCATACAACCCAGACAGATAATGTTCTCTCGTGCAAATGCGGCTATATAGTAATTGAATATTATAATATTATTACAAAAAATCGATGCGATTGCAGCAGCAATCGTATAGAAATGGAAGTGCAGAAAATACTGTGGCGAGCACATATGATATATTATCCTGATGCACTCTCGACCCAGATTTCTCCGCACTCGGCTATGAAGTGGCTTTCACGTCGGTCAACACTAGGTTCTACCGAGCATGCGACTATATGACTGAATGGTGTTAGCTTAGCGCGTAAGCTGGCTATATTATATCAGGAGTGAATAATAATAGATTAATATGATATAATCTATTATTATTCACTCCCAATTATATTATATCAAGCAGAGCCGGTGCAGGTGATAGTATGGAAAGCAGATTTTGTAAGAATATTGTTTTTTTACCAGTTTATACGCGGTCCGATAAGGACCGCTAACAACCGGCTTCCCTGGTTACAAGACAAGCCGCGGTCTACGTCTCCATGTCTACGTACGTCATGCTGCAGCATCTAATGGGTTTACACACCTTACTAACCCTAACACGACATGCCTTTCAGCGTGCGTCAGGCGTGAGGATGCGTATAACGCCAGCGTTATTAATTAAGGGACATGCATGCTACTAACAGTGAATATGATACAGTAAATATCCATGTGTTCCACTAAAGCATTCACGCGTCGATGTATATATGGGCTTACATTGGAGAAGAACAAGTCATGATATACTGCGCGATTTACGTTTGCGATTAAGCGATGCCACAGACTAATTTCATAGAGAACGCCGTCAGCGTGCTATAGGTGCTTCACAACAGTAGAAGGCGTCCATAGGCAGCAGGCCTGAGTAAGCATCGAACAGAAATTAATTAAAAATACTCACACTGTTTCGTCGCATACACAACATACACGTTATTCATGTTAAATAACTACAGATTCATGCTCTATGCTCCGCTTGAAACTTTTGCCAGTTCTATGATGCGAGTTTCGACAAAGTAGTCGGATCACATTTCAAACACAAAAATGACCAACCGGTCACCATGGTTACGCCACTTGATAGAATGTCACAGCTACACGACAAGACAAATTTTACTTCTAATGCATTGTAGACGTCCACGAGACATCTAACTAATTAACTAACTATTAAGCCACCTAACCCAGACCAGAGCCCAGCCCACCCCAGCCAACCCAGCTCAGCCCACTTAGCCCAGAGACATTTAACAAATTGTGTGCAAAAGAGTGCACTCTAGTGACGAACTTTACCGAAACAATGCAAAAACATGAATTTTCTAGAGACCAAATAGTGCAATTCGCGGAGGCTTACTGTTGTATGCCTCCTATATGTGTGATGACTTGCATGTTAGATTGTGATGGCTGCCGACCGCGAATCAAACATGAACGTCTCCACCTGCTCGCAAGTACCGCCTGTAGGTACATTCGAGCAGCAAGTGGTGAATGTATTTACACACTGGTGGTCGGCTTCAGACTTTGTCACGTGCGTTCTAGTCTAAAATGCGAACACGGTGGTTCACATCCCGTGAGCATCATTGTTGCATCATTGTTGCATCATATCAGGTGGTTCTCATCATCATAGCGAAACAATGCAAGTGGATACCAGGACAGACCTGTCCGTCACTCTCGCACACCGCACAGAGTACGAAATTACGTCCTACACGACGTTGTCGACATGTTATTAATGAGAAGCTACAGCGGCTTAATTATGTGTTCTTGATAGATGTATGTAAGCTATGCAATAATAGGCAGACAATAGTAGGCTGGAAACGCGGACAAAGAACGCACGGGCAAACAGTAATTAACGAGTTAAATATAATAAGACATAATAAATGCATTCATGTCGTGTTCAATTATATGCGATATATTCACCAGCTCGCATACCCGTATAACTCGTATGTTACACAGTTAAGATAAATTTTGTAAACTAGACGACAGATGTGTGTTTTAGCCAAATATCTGATAGTTACTATTCAATCTGTGCAAGCAACACAGCCGCACCCATCAACTTTCACTCATCGATCTTCAAGCAACCACAGGAAATGAACACGTCGTTGTTCCAAATTCTATTCAGACAATATCTGCCAGCTGTTACCCGTAATGTTGGAAATGCTCGTAATGCGTCTGAATGACCCGAAGTTCCTCTCACGTCAGTGTCGTAGTTAGAAATAGGTTGTAGGTGGGTAGCATATACTGATTTTTGATACCGATTCTACGGACGCTGATGAATCTTTCAATCAATTAACTAGTATATCTATCTATCTATCTATCTATCTATCTATCTATCTATCTATCTATCTATCTATCTATCTATCTATCTATCTATCTATCTATCTATCTATCTATCTTGCTACTCTATCTATTCTATCTATCTATCTTCTACCTATACTATCGTATCTATCTATCTATCTAATCAAGTCTATCTATCTATCATCTATCTATCCTATCTATCTATCTATCTGTTTATCTATCTATCTATCTATCTATTCTATCTAGATCTATCTATCTATTTATCTATCTATCTATTCTATCTGTATCTATCTAATCTATCTTCTATCTATCTATCATCTATCTATCTATCTAGTCTATCTTATCTAGTCTATATATCTACCTATCTAGCCTAGTATCTATCTAGCTTAGCTACATCTAATCTACTATTTATCTACTATCTATCTATCAATCTATTTATAGCTAATCTATCCTATCTAGCTATCTATTTATCTATCTATCTATCTATCTATCTATCATTTATCTATCTATCTATCTATCAATCTATATTACTCTAGCTTATCTATCTATTATTTATTCTATCATATCTATCTATCGTATCTATCTGATCTATCTATCTATCTATCATCCTATCTATCTATCTATCTATCATCTATCTATATCTATCTACATCTATCTATTATCTATCTTATCCATATCCTATCTAATCTATCTACTATTTATCTATCTATCTATCTATGTATCTATCTTCTCGATCTATTCTATCAATTCTAATTTATCTAAGCTATCTATCTATCATCTATCTATTTAATCTATCTATACTCTCTCTCTCTCTCTCTCTTTCTTCTCTCTAGTATATATAATAATATTAATATATCTCGGTCTGTCCTATCGTCCGTCCAGTCCCGTCAGTTTCCGTCCGTCGTCCGTCCGTCCGGTCCGCGGTCGTCCGGTGCCTCGTCCCGTCCACGTCGTCCGTCCGTCCGTCCGTCCGCCGTCCGTCTCGTTCCGTCGCGTCCCGGTCCGTCCGTCCGGTCCGTCGTCGTCGTCCGTCCAGCTCCGGTTCCCGGTCCGTCCCCGGCCGTCCGTCGTCCGTCCGTCGCCGTCCGTCGCGCGTCCGTCCTTCGTCCGTCCTCCGTCCACGCGTCGTCCGTCCGTCGTCCCGTCCGTCCGTCCGTCGTCCGTCCGTCCGTCCGTCCGTCGATCCGTCCGCTCCGTCCGTCCGTCCGTCCGTCCGTCCGTCCGTCCCTTCCGTTCCATCCGCATCCATCCCATTGTCCATCCATCCATCAATCCATTCCATTCATCGCATTCATCCATCCATCCATCCATCCATCCATCCAGTCCAACCATCCATTCCATTCCATTATCCATCCATCCATCCATCATACCATCCCATCCATCATCCTCCCATCCATCCATCCACCATCCATCCATCCATCATCATCCATCCATTCCATCATCATCCATCCATCCATCATCCATCCCATCCATTCCATCCATCCACCAACCAATCATCCAACCAATCATCCATCCTTCTATCCATTCCATCAATAAATTTTGTTGAATACCCATGTATCGATATCCTCTGCTTGAGGCGCCTGCGAAGCGCCCCGCCTTAGAGGGGATAACCGACAAAGCAATATCAAGAGTTTCTGTTATTATGGATGAGAGCAGAGATCTGAAAAGACAGCAAACGAGCTCGTAATGAACATTGCATAAATGATTACGAAATTTCCGTATTAGTCATTACATATAATACGTACTTTATGCTAATGGGAGAACGAGGGCAGCAATTAAAATAGATAGAGATTTTATCAAATAAAATTGCCCATTCTCAGCTAGATAAGAGGCGAATCCGTACGATACGTCCGCGGTCGATAAAGACGGTCGAAAAAGTTCTATTCTCTGCAGCCGCTGTCGTGCTGGCGTTTCTTCATCTGCTGGGCTCCCTACCACACACAGCGCCTGATGTTTCTCTACTGCATGAGCACCGGAAATTGGTCGCCCGTGTTCATTCGGATCAGCGAGATCATGTTCTTCGTAGCAGGTAGGCGAGCGTGGCTGGTGGCTGATTGTCTGTCTGTCTGTCTGTCTGTCTGTCGTGTTCTGTGTCTGTTCTGATCGGTCTGTCGGTCTGTCTGTCTGTCTGTCTGTCTCGCTCTAGTCTGTCATGTCCTGTAGCCTGTCTAGTCTGGTGGCCTTGGAGGAGGTGACTGGCTGACTGGCTGCTGGATTAAAACATGAGATGGATGGTATGGAATGGATATGAGGATGATGGATGGATGGATGATGCAATGGATGGAATGGATGGGACGGGGACGGGACGGAGCGATGGATGGATTGGATCGGAAGATATGGTTATGGATGGATGGATGGGTGGATAGATGGATTAGAATTGGAATCGGATTGGATGCGAATTGATTGATGCGATGGATGGATGAATGGCATGACATGGATGGATAGATGATGCATTAGATGTACTATATGTAGGATAGATGGATTTGGATGGTATGATATGACAGGGATGGATGGATGGATGGATGGAAGGATGGGCATGGAGCTGGATTGATGGATGGATGTATGTATGAATGGCATGCGATGGATGGATGGATGGGATGGATGCAGGAGCATGGATGATGATGGATGGATGGATGGAGGAATGATTATGGTACATGAGGATGGATGGATGCGATGGAATGGATGGATGGATGGTATGCGATGGATGGAATGGATGGATGGTGGATGGTAGATGGCATAGATGGAGAATGGATGGAATGGAATTTATTGTATGGATGGATGGATGAATGGCATGAACGCCATGATAGGATGGATGGATAAGTGTATATATGTATGGATAGCATGAGGATGGCATGGATATGGCATGCACATGGATGCATGGATGCATGGATGGCAAGATATGTATGAATGATGGATGGAATGGATGGTATGGATGATTGGAATGCATGGAATTGGATGGATGATGTATGATGGAAGTATGTATCGGATGGATAGATGGGATGGCATGCTTTCTTTCGCATGGTTGATGGAATGGAGATGGTGGAATGATAGGATGGATGGATGGATGACGGCAATGATGATGAATGATGAAGGATGAATCTATGATGGATGGATAGATGGATGACCGAACGAGCCAACGAACGGTCGGGAGCGAAGGTGAATGGATAAAGGGATAAAAGAAGGCCAAAATATTTATAACTGCGCGCAAATACATGACCATTTTATGACTTATTGACCATATACTGTAGGTTCACGTGATATAAGAACAGCATTCCCTGACCGAGATTGTGGGGACGGTACGCAATAAAAGTTACATGATAACGCGATCGATGTTAATAAAACTTGAGACGTTAATCTGCATAATCGTCAGTCTTTCTGAAACCGCCAAAAGGTTTTTTCCCGCGGGTTCGTTATCGTTATGTCTCAGCGCCGCTCAGCCGTTCGACTTTGATGCACGGTCTGTGACACTGTTAATTACATCATACTTTATCATACTTTCACATGCCTTATTTACATCGAGCTTTATCATACTGTATATGTTATCACACGCACATAAGCACGCGAGTACGCACGCACACTCCTATAAATCAGTAACTAACTAACTAACTAACTAACTAACTAACTAACTAACTAACTAACTAACTAACTAACTAACTAACTAACTAACTAACTAACTAGCTAGCTAGCTAACTAACTAACTAACTAACTAGCTAGCTAGCTAACTAACTAACTAACTAAATAAATAAATAAATAAATAAATAAACAAATAAATAAATAAATGAATAAACATACATACGCATGTTTCATCACGCATCACGCACTCGTTCTTCTTCTCTACTCGCAGGAACGCTGTACTACATCTCGTCGACGATCAACCCGATTCTCTACAACGTCATGTCGCGTCGCTACCGGCAGGCGTTCCGTCGCACGGTGTGTGGCTGCTGCGACGCCGACGGCACGCCGACACGCACCGGCACCATCACGTCGTACGCGCCGATCACCCAGCCGGGCAAGAACGGAGCGCAGATGAACATGAACGAGATGAACTGCGGCAACGGCAACATGCCGACGGTCGTCGCCGAGGAGTTCGTATAGTCGGGGTACGGACGAGAGCGAAGACGAAGGGTTAAAGTTCGCGATGTTCACAAAAACGCACATTAGTGCCGATTTTCGCCGACCGTCTGGTCGAATCCTTGCATCAGTGACAAACGGCATGATGTGAATGACCGCCGACATGATGTGAATGACCGCCGACATGATGTGATTGATCACCGACATGATGTGAATGACCGCCGACATGATGTGATTGATCACCGACATGATGTGAATAACCACCGACATGATGTGACCGAACACCGACATGATACATAGTTGCATGTACCATGTTACATGACGGGTGGGTTTGCAGGCGCGGTGGACTGATCCTTGATATGACGCACTGACCGTCCTTCACGATGGTCTGACCACTGATACGATGGATTGACCGCCGACACGATTGGCTGACCATTGATACGATAGATTGACTGCCGACACGATGGACGGACCGCTGACATGATTAGGTTTAATATATATATAAAATATAAAGACTGGTCATTGATACGACAGGGCTGACGACCGATAGGATCACAGGGCGACTGGCTGGCGGCAGCTAACACGCTGGGCCGATCGCTGACATGGTCGACTCAATATAAATATTAGAGGGCCCAGCTAAAACTCACACATCGGGGCCGAGTACTCGTACGATAAGGTTGTCACTGATATGGACTGGCTCAGCACTATTACGATGACGTGCTCCGTTCTGGCGTCATCACATAATCGATGATCGAAAGCATTTAAGTCTTTATCGCTCTCGCATTTAGCTTTCTCAAATACGATAAAAATTGTTATCGCCGGCGCGATGGGACGGCAGTTTCACGAACCGTTGCCGTTAAGATTTCAGCCGCCTCGTCTAGTCACGCTATCTAGTCAAGGTCATCGTGGAAACGAGGATCTCAACGATGGTCAGCTTCACCGAACATGCTTGAAGCCGGTAAAAAACGGGAATTTTTAGTTAGAATAGTATAGGTTTTTCGGCTTGCCACCTCCTTTCTCTCCCTCGCTCGCCACTTCCCCGCCATCTCTTTCTTTCTTTCTTTCACTCATTAATTCATTCACTCATTCATTCATTCTTTCTTTCTTTCTTTCTCTCTCTCATGCTTGATCTCCCCCTCTCTCGACCACACGCCACCTCACCAGCTCTGGCTCGGTCACTGCCCCGTCTCACCTTTGCTTTCACCCCCTCTCTCTAGCGCGCGCTCTGTCGCTCTGTCCTCATAACACAAGTGGTTTTCACTTTTCACACATTCCAAGCACAGAGTGGCGTCTATTAGTATATGCCATCAATGATGGTGTCTCATTTTCTTGTGCTCGTCGCACAATAAGCCACGATTAGTCATGAAATGCTTTTGCAACCCATATAAAAAGCGAGACAACCGCAGGCGAATGATTTTCTCCACACACCTCCACGATTTGCTTACACAACGCATATATATATATATATATATAGTATATATCAGTTTTACACCGGGCCTGGCTGTCCATAGTTTACCATAGTGTCCACCATTAACGTGTGCAAACCCACAGAAGGAATCCTGCCGTCTATACACATGACTGCGTACACAGTTACGACATACAGTAATGCAATTAATTTTGCAGTCGGTATCCATGACTGCTCCCACCAATGGCAATAGGTACAGCACGGGGTATTGAATTGATGAGGTTGCACCCATGTATTTGAATTGCATGGCGTTTGATACCACGGCAAATATTATTATATCGTAGATGACATAATGAAACTCGCGTAACCACACATATTATATATATTGCTGTCAATTTTTTTACGTCGCACCCACCTGCTTATTGATGATATTAAAGCTGCATATGCCTATAGTTTCTCCTAGGTATACAAACGCTAAATCTATTGCAGCGAGCTCATTGCACTCACTGCGCGTCATGATTATATATATATATATATATATATATTATATAATCAAGAGTCCATAATAGACAATTTTCTATTATGGACTCTTGATATAATGTTAAGGCGTAGTTTTACAACGGTAACGCCGAAGGCAGGCGTATCTCGTGATACCCCCTGTAATTACGGCGCAGTTGTGATTCCTGCATGATATATAAAGGGGCATATATATATATATATATATATATATATGCCTGTATATAAACTATATATACATGCCCAGCTTCGTGTGAGTGGTGCTGGTTACTGCGAGACACATTTATTTCTTCTTGCGCGAATAATGGTATACAATAACCTAGAGAAACGTGAGGCTTGAATGACAGACACGCACGCACGCACCCATGCATGCACGCAACATGCAAACACGCGCGTATGCACGGACAGACAAACGGACGGGCGGACTATGGATGGACCGGAAACACCACACACCACACACACACACACAACCACACACAGCACACGCCACACGCACACGACCGCACCACGACCCACACGCAACACGCACACGCCACACCGCACACGCACGCACGCACACACGCACGCACGCACGCACACACACACACACACACGCGCGCGTGCGCGCGCGCGCACTCGCGCACATTTACGCACGCATGCACGTGATTATCATGTGCATCAACGTCTTTAGAAACTGTTTTTCGGAAATTTGAGCGTTTCTTAATCAGCTGTTTGATCGGTTAGGTTATTTACATCATTACGTTAAGTCAAGTAAGCGAGTAATTTTTTTTACATAACTACGTCATCAACGGCGTGTTTTCTATATGCGTCCATGCCCAGGAAAAATTTAAGCAAGTTACAATCGAGATGAGCAGAATGTTCAGTGTGAAAATGGCAACTGTGAGTTAATAGGTTTAGAAGCAATATATGCTAACTTTATTCGGGGGACTTGTTGTATGTAAGACTTATAACCGCTGTATAAGTGCATTAAATTTAAAATTTCCTAGGATTCCTATAACATACATACAAGAAATTTAAGGCATAGATGTTTCTGTATATTATGTAACCGTGTGTGTGAGTTTGTGAGTATGCGCGCGTGTATAGGGTGGGTGTGTTCTAGAAATGATCATCTTGCGAACGGCCTATATATTCAGCCACTAGATTCGTAATGTTCATTAGAGTCGCGTAGTTTTTCATTACGTCCGATGATTAATAACGCCATGATCATAATTTCTAAATATATGTTTTAGGACCATACATGTGGATATGGAGAGTCGAGTCAGATTTGAGTATAGGGGCTATTCTATCTTACGTATAGTTTCATATTATCGGAATATATGCGGTATACATTTAAAACTAGACTTACATACTCACGTCAGTTTAATTAATGAATAAATACCTAAGATTACCTAATAAATAACTCAGCGGTGGTACTTGGCTTATAAAAGATGGACGTGCCGTTCGAATGGGGAACAAGCCCAGTACTCGCGGATGTGTACGCCCATAAATGTGAATATAGTGTTTGTCATGTGCGCTCGATATGAAGTCATGAAGTATGAAGAGTGTAAAGTGAAGATGAATAAAATTCCATTTTTGAAATCCCCATCTTATGTGTTCTGAGTGATAGCAGAGGACTGCCGAAGGAAATGACATGACAGAGAAATGGTAAAATCAGGGAAATTTGACAATTATTTGTTGCTGACTACACGAGTTTAGATTTTACACGAGAACAGACTTTAAACTGATTTTGAATGGCCGATGAGAATAAATTTGTATAATAGCCGGAGGTTGGTAGCTATTACTACAGCAACCGGCGGTGTCACATAGTACGCTAGGATACCAGGATATCATTTGCTAAGAGGGATGTGGCGTAGCATTTTCTAACATCTGTAAAGGCTTGAATAGGATAACCGGACCTGGCGAGGGCGAGAATACGATTGTCACGTTGGGAAAGAAGCACAAAGTCAGATTGTCAGCGGAGGGAGAAAACAACGTCTGAAAAGATGCGACTGTTATTATAGAGCGACTACTTAGCAACAGTTCGACTCCTCATAATAATTACGAAACATAATCACCAGACGGAAGTTAGCGTCGGAATGCTGCATCGTTTTATTAACCAGAACCGGCTTACAAGCAAACATTCATAGATTACCAGCACTGACCAAACTGCAGCGCACATGCTACTTCTTATACATCGTGGTCGACCGGCATTATGTGTGACATTCACAAAACTATACAGTAACGGCGTGCGCTGACCACCTAATCCTCCCGGTTCTGCACTAACTGTGAAGCTCACAATCGAAGACTAATCGCGCAGGTGCAGGTAAATCTAGTACAGTGTAGTAGTAACAACAGATATACCCAAACGAAATTAGTATTCTGACTTTACTGGTACGCTGTCGGTGCAAACAGTCATTGTAACGCTAACACTGATGACGCTCAGATTGTCCGGAGAAGAGTACCGACACGCGCCGTACTAACATTTCCACTTGTGTCTCGACAAGTATATATTAAATGTAAAATTAACGTCAACGAGTAAAATCGTAGCTGCACGAGAGACAGCAAAACACTTCGTAAAGAATAAAATGTCCCCTTCAACACATTAAAAAAGAGCAAAAACACACCGGCAACGTAAAAGTTGACAGTTCTCAACATCACTCGAAAATGTATAACATTATTACACGTCTCGCTATCGTACAATAATAGAATAATACAGTAGAAGTGAAAAAATTTACAGGGCATATCAGCGTGTGTACACCGCCTCCCTCCCCCCGAGTCTGCGAGAAACACCTCTTGGAACAAACAAACACGCACAGACGCACGCACGCGCGCACGCATACACACAGACGCGTGCGCGCGCGCACACACAGACGCGTATATATATATATATATATAGCTGAAACAGGAGAAACGCTCGCTTATACAAGGAAGAAGAAGCACAGCCGCATCTACGGTCAGGGAAAGATCAGGAGGAACTGCATTGTGGCATAAGTAGGATCACACATATATATCCCTCTCTCTTTCTATATATATATATATATATATATATATATATATATATATATATATATATACCTAATATATAAATATATCTATTTATGCCTCCGTTGGCCGGGACTGTGACCACGCTCACGTGTCCTATTCCCCGCTTCAGCGGAGGCATTGTAAGGTCGAATCTATAGTACATCGCTCCCTTCAAACAGAAGAGAAACAATCGCGTATCTCGTAAGTTGCACGTCATGCACCGAAGCCTGGCAGGTGCTAATTCCCGCTGGACTATAAAGGTACTGAGCATCGATTACCTAACAGTGACTAAAGCCATGGATGCATGCATTGACATGTATATATATATATACGTAGATGCAGTGACGAGCTTCAGCGGCGTATACTACTCATTGTAAGAACAACTGGCGACTCGGGTATTGATATCACAAGCATCGTCGGTGCCGTCAACGACGTCGGCTACAGCGCACTCGTTCTCCGCAAAGAAATTCATACAAATCAGTGTCTCCACGATAGTCTTTATTTACAACAATAGCGATAGAAAGCTGCATGTGAGCGACACACGGCATCACGAACAAACCTACCTGTGCTCTTCAACAAAAGCTACGCCCGCGAGAGTACTGCTACATACACATCCCCTGTTAAATTTCACAAGTATAACGTGCAATGTACGTAGGGGGCTACCACATATACCACTACACTGCCTCTACGACGTTCCCAGGAATGCTAAGGCCATATGATTATTAACTACGAGGACCTTTAATGCTGAAGGATAGACAGTCATGTTCAGACCGTTATTACCGACCGCTCGAGAATGGTAACGAATTTATTCAAAAGTTGGTGGTCAATTCGAATCTTTTCTCAGACAAAGAAAGCACCGACGTTCATAAACACCTAATCGCTCTGCCAATACAGAACGCCGTAACCGTTTCCAAACTCTCGTAAAATGTTACTAACAGCAGATGGTGGAAAGAAAAAGGCATAACATCGAGTTACATGTATACATGCTGAGTAGCCAGAGTATGGCTGCAGCCATGGCCGTAGCCTGCCGCTGTGTCCCAGTCATGGTGTCTGAGAGCCTGTCTATACCAGGGTGCGTGCGCACACCAGACCATTCCCCTCTCCCGCTGGTCGTGCGCAAAAAACAGCAATTCGATTTTCACCAAGTCGAGTTGTGCAGTGGTAGAACGCCACGCACGTCATTCTTGGCTATGCTCACCGGATGCAACGGCAGGTAACCGAAGCCGCCGCCCTGCTTAATATGACAAGCATGCCTTGACCAGGGCGAGAGGTGCAATGGCCTGCTGCTATACACCCTAGGATATCAATCAATAATATATTATTAATAATTATGATAATGATAATAATAACATCCTATATTAGGAGTAAACAGACGCGTAGGCAAGGGTGCACCACAGGAAGGACAATTTATAGCTACGGGTGAGCCATTAATATTTAGTGAGCTGTTCTAAACGACTTTACATCATGCTGCACACATTATCTTGGGGATTGAAGTTGCTGTGACAACCCTATTGTTTATTTCATTTATCCACCCTTCATTTCGCTCTCACCCCATACTCTTTGTCGTCCACTCGCGTTCTCTGTCTTTCAACTCCTTATTCTCCGCCTCCTCTTTCATTTTGTGATTTCATGTCTTCTCTCTCAGGCGCGCTTATACTGAATCACCGTATCTTCAATTCGCTTTACTCACTGCTCGTTTCGATCTCACCTTATGTTACTGTTAATCACTTGCATCTCTCTCTTCTCTCTCTCTCTCTGTCTCTCTCTCTCTCACTCTCTCGCTCTCTCTCTCTCTCTCTCTCTTCTCTCTCTTCTCTTCTCTCTCTCTCTCTCTCTCTCTCTCTCTCGCTTTTCTCTCTCACTCTCTCTCTCCTCTTCTCTATTCTCGTCTCTCTCTTCTCTCTCTCTCTCTCTCTCTCTCTCTCTCTCTCTCTCTCTCTCTTTCTGGCTCTCTTCTCACCATCACTAAATCATTTAATTACTCTAGCATATTTTGTTACGTGCAAACATTTTGATTTTCATCCGCGTAAGTTTACTCGTAATTAATCAATTACATTAATCCCTAATTGTAGCTAGGCTTACTGCTATATATAGTTGAGCAAAAATAACAACAGGTTGCCTTACACTACCTCGTCAAGACAAAAATACATACACACATTCTGCGTAAAATCGTAAGAAGGCGAAGAATGTAGGGGAACGTTACGAAGGTATCGTGGGGGGAAATAAATGCTTAATATAGGGGGTTGGAATAGAAACGGGGCGGGGAGTAATTAAGGGGTACACACGCACGCACGTACACATATGACATGATAAGACAATAGGTGGGTAAGGGCAGGGTGGGGTGAGGAATATCTTGATACGGGTAGACAAAAAGGGATAGAGGTGCTTGCTAGCTTCACCCTAGCGCTGTAACAGCAACTTCAAGTTACCAAGCATGGGGTACGTTCAGATGCCTCTGTGAGGAAGTATCGTCTAGCAATGATGATTCTACAGGAAACTACATAAAAAGAAAACACGTAGCCTATCCGTTAGGCGCCACAAATTACATCGATAGATACCAAGATTTGCATACTGCAATGGCAGGTTTCCATCATTACAAAGACATATAAAACAGCAAGAAAATACACACCTTATTGTTAGAAACCCAACGATTGCATGAATTATTTATTACTTCCGGTTATATGATGACGATGGTAGCATTGTCTACCCAACTGTCCAGTTTTATCCTCGTTCCTAGTGAATTCCACAGAGCCCAGCTCTGCTGAAGATTGATATCACCGAACTATACCGGCTCTGCTAAAAGAACTCCTCAAGATATCAGAAGCCAGTGCTATGTATTTCACTGCTGATGCCTTGCCCCATACGAACATATCACAGTTCTCTTCTATATGCATGCCTGCTCTCCATTGACGAGGATCAATCCAATTCCAACATTCCTTGGTTTAGCGCCATTTACGTGTATAGCATCAACCACTGCCTTTGCTCTTAGCCTGCCTCTAGGAAAAATTGGGCATGAAATAGGGCTAAATTACATCAAATATAGCCGTGGCTGCCAGCAAACTCCGATTTCATACAGCCATCATAGCAACTGATGGGTGAATTTTTGCCAGATTGCTGCACATCAAATCTGACAATGTAACCACGATGCAACAGTTCTGTCACAGCCCGGCAAGTAACCCTCAGGTATCCCCACCAGTGGTCTCACTCCTGCTGCTTCCATCGAAGCGACGAGGCTACGTTCTGCACCGACATCAGTGTCATCGTTCACAAATACACCAGCAGGTGTTCTCACAACTTCGTGGATTCAATCGCATTGGGAATGAGCTGTGATTCATTAGCATTGTCTGAGCTACCGACTCCTTCCTGACTGTATTCAGCAAGCACCTCCTGTAACTTGTCATCCACCTCTTTCTCCAGGCCCAAGCGTGTCTGCAAACAAATGGATGGAATTTTTCTGTGACAACCTCGCACACGATCGTCAATCAAACACACAAATATTTCATGTAACACACATTCAACGCAATTAACAGAGCTTTGACTTCCCCTGCAATCTTCCCCGTTGTGACAAATTATACTTGTTTCTACTACTGGCGACTGGAGGGTTTTCTAGTGTCCTACATGCAAAATTTTTGACAACTACGTCAATTTGCACATGTAACCATGCCGTCTGAAATCTACTTGAGTCTCTCTTACACTAAGTTTCTCCCGTTCGAGCTGGTTGCTCAGTTCCTTGTAGGCTTCATCCTGCCGTTGCTTTGCTTTTTCGTATGCATCCAATAACTACAAGTACGAGGTAAGCATATAAGATGTCACATTCACTTTCACAAAAACAAGATACATGCTTCTTCAAAAGCCTTCTATAAAAACAATGATTCATATCAAGTCAGATCTAATATATAATATATATATATATATATATATATATATATATATATATAGATGACGTGTGGAATGAAAAAGCATACGGTGATACCATTGATGTCAGTCAGTTCCGTTTGTTAATATTTAAGTAATTGGTATATTTTGTTGTACGGTCTTGGTTATTTCTATTGATTCCATCCCGAGTGGAACATTTACTGCTTTGACAATAATGCGAATGACATAGGGATTGGTGGTTAACGATCACGTTGGGTGAAGCCTACCTTATGTCTCTCTGAGACGACCCTGTTGATTTGTTTCTGCTCGATCTCACGTTTTCGGCGCGAGATCTCTGCCTTGTCATTGCACGTTCTTGTTAGCTTCTTCTTCTCTTCACGACCTTGTCTCTGACTACGCTCCATCACAGCTGAGACTTCCCTACAAGTAGCCAGGCAGCGGTGGCATATTAGACATTTCTAAACCAAATAGTCTTAGCACACCTGACATTAAATTGACTACGTCACGAATTTTCTATGGTGATATTTGTAAACATATTGTTGCCATTTTTTTACATTAAAAGTAAGTACGAACGGGACTAAGTGTATCGTCAAATTCTTACCTGATAAGATTGTTTCTCAACTAGTTAAAAATCAACAAAAACCTGGACGATTTCTATTATTATCCTGACATTAATTGCTTGATGTATGAGTCACAAGTGTATGTTTACATCGAACAATATAGGAATATCGGAAGTATAATGCAGCAATTTAACCATAAAAAGTGATCAGAATTACTTACATTTTGTGAAAAAGTGGAAATATATTTTGTAGTTTTACTATTTACGGTGACGTAATCACTTTAATATACTACTAATATGAATTTAAATTGAGTTATTATTCATTCACTCTCTTGTTCTCCTCCCTAATTCGTCCTTTCTCCACTCTTTATCACTCTCTCTTTCTCTTTGTATGTCTCTTTATCTTTCGCGCATCCCATGTCCGCCGCTGTTTCTCCCGTTGCCTATGATTCTGCCGCTATATACTTTCGCTTGTTATAGTTTACGGTAAGCAGCATTTATACACAAAAAGCTCGAGATGCCGTATTAGGTCAAAAGGAAATCCTCTTATTTGTCTAGTGACACGAGCTGGTCCTACCTGTCATGGAGGTTCTGCAAAGCCTTGTGCTGAGAGTGCAAGGAATTGTCCAGAAGTTTATCTAATGTGTCATAAAGCTGTGACAAGAAAAATCGTCAGTGATCAGCCACGAATAATTCGACAACGAATCATCACGTATATTCCTATCAACCCACACCCATCTGCATAATCACAAAGATCACAGCAATATGAAATATTATTTTAAAGAATAAATCAATTCTGATTTAGATCGTGGTTACGGGTAAGGAAACGAACTGAATGGAGGATCAGAGGATAAGTCAGATATGGCTCAGGTTGTGAGCGGGTTGAGCTATGAATGAGATCATGGGACTGGCCACGGATTCAAATATTGACCATGTTATGGGTTGGAACATATGTTAAAGTTAGGGTAAGGCCAGCATTATATTGGCGTGATGGCCTTTGGGTCGGCTCGCAAGTGAGGTATTGGGTAGAATGTGGGTCTGTTATGGGTCAGTCACGGGTTAGGTTGCAAACATGGACACCGACCAGAAATTGCCACGTTAGGAGCTTACGATTGTGTGGTGCTTGACGTGGACAGCCTTGAGGCTGCTGCTGAGGTCCTGACACAGACTGATCATCGACTGAGCATGCGTCTTGCGCAGCACCTGCATACGCTCATCGTGCATGATCTCCAGCTGAGTGAGCAACAACGTACGCTCCTGGTGCAGCTTCTCAGTCTCCCTACAACACGCGTGTCGACACATCAGCGCACAAAATACAAACGAAAAGTGCGAGCAAAACCAAAATGCAGTTAGATTCAATGAGCCAAGCTGAACGCAAGGGCGCTCGACTCAATTACGCACGTTTCCGACTTCTGCTGTAACTTACTGGGCTGAGTCGGGTCGCACTTTCTTGAGAGATTTGTTGTGGCTTTTTTCCAGAGCAGACCTCTCTTTCGTCAATGCTGCCTTCATCTTTTCTTCTCTCTGCCTTCCCTGCTGCTGCCTCTCTTCGCGTATCTGCCAAAGAGTAAAACGAAATACATGACTAAAAAATAAACTTGGTGAACTATGAATTAGCTATATACATGCGGGACCGAGATATTTAAGACATTAAATATTGCAGTCAATTTGGGAAAAGGTTAGTTGGTCAAGAAATTGAAACACGTTCGTTTCAGTATGAAACACTGAAGGAATATGCTAGAAAATAGAGTGTGAGAGCTAAAGATCTCAAGGATGCAATTGTGGTAAGAGGATAGTAGAGATTCATAGCCATAGCCTTCCTACCCGTTCATGTTGGGCCAACAGTTGCTGTATTTCTTTCTGTTGCTTCTGTGTAGCTTTAGCATAGTCCTTGTGTTCTTGTAAGCTTGCTAGAGAAGGTCCATTCAGCAACAAGGTCTCTGTAACAGGGAAATAAAATCTATACAAGTGACATTTACGTTTATGATTTATTACATGACATTTCATACGCTTACGTGCTCATTTAGCTGTTACATCTTAATGCATGTTCTAGCATACTCCTTACAGACCATTATAAACCATTACATCATGCATCGATACAAACCTTACATAATTATATACTATCTTACGTTGCTACTTACATCATCACATCCTCATATTTGCGCATTTTATTCATGTTATTATTACAATAAATCGGATAATACTAATTGAAAAACACATTGTATGGTTCAACATTTATGTGTTTGCTCCATATGAATCTTACCGATAGTTTCCTCTGTTAGAAATGTGCCATTCTCTGTGGGTGCCTCATTCACTGACCTCTGGGTTGAAACATTTGAGCCTGAAACCGTGCACAACATGACATCAACGCACAACATCACATAAGAGTGAGCACGTGATAGTGAAAACGTCATTTGTTACTGTAATTTTTACTGCCCACAAGTATGAGCGTGAGGTTATTTTTCTAGGCATGTCCTCTACAGAGCAAACCCTCAACCTCTTCTCCAAACTTCTCTCAAACTTGCTCTATGTTAACGTACGGATTTGCTGCCATTCATACCTGCGGGGGCTGCAACCTGGCCCTCCTGACGTGTGACGTTCTGTGGCTGGGGTGACGTTGGCTGTGTGGACGTGTGAGCTCGCGCGACACTAACGCCCTCACTGTCCACGCTCGGCACCTGTTTACTCGGCGTCCCGATCACCGATACCTTGGCCGACTTTCTTCCAGACTTCACCGGTTCCACCTCAGAGTGTATTTCTGACTGCAGTACGATCATTCATCAATTATTCATTCCGGCATTAATACGAAAAGTGCACATACTACCAGGTATAAATCGTGCTGAAAGTAGAGCGGTACTTTCTACCTACATTCTACTTTCTACCTTTACATACGCGGTACCTTTACATACGCTACCTTTACATACCTTTACATATAGCGGTACTTTCTACCTTTACATACCAGCAAGGAATCATTGAAGATAAACCCAAATAGGTGGTGTAGTTATGTAGGTATGTAAGTATGTAATGTAGGTACGTATACTGACAGGTAATTAACATGGACAGGTAATAGTACAAGAAGTACAATATAAGTACAAGCAGGCAGGTAGGTATGATAACTAACAAAGAATGTAGCTGTGCTAACGGGCAGGTAGAAGTAATAGACTTGTTGTAGAAAGCAAGCATGTGTGGTGGAGTATATCATCTATATATATAAAGTTGTTCAGCCGAATTAGTCCGTACTCGCATAACTAGAGAACTCTGCAGCCTAGAGGAAAACTAAAGATATTTTCAGAATCAGCACGCCTGGGAAGTGGTTCTGGCTAAAACAAAAATTTAAAAAAGTTAAAAAGTAAAAAATTGATAAAAATTCTATTCATCAATAGAGGGCGGTGCGTACAGATTAACATCACGTACGTGTGAATCCATGGTGTATACCCTTAATGGCGCAGTGGCCTAATCACTAGAACATCCGTCTCCTACAACGTGATTCCGGGTTTGAGTCCCAGCTGGGGAACTTATTTTCTCATTTTTTTCATTTTTTTCCCTTTACCTATACCTCTTTAGTATGTATTATTTTTAATTGTTTACTTTTAATTTTTAATTTTTAATGTCTTATCTTTTGATTTCTCATTATTTTTTTACTGTTTGGGATGGGATGGGATGGGATGTGGTGCGATGGGATGGAATGGGATGGCATGGCATGGCATGGGATGGGATGGGATAGGATGGGATGGGATGGGATGGGATGGGATGCGGTGCGATGGGATGGGATGGCATGGAATGAATGGATGGATGCATGGACGGATGCATGGATAGATAGATAGTTAGATTTTTGTGGGTATTTTCCTTTCAACCAAGCGGTCACCAACTGCGTAACGCCACTGATTTCCCCGGGCAACGCCGGGTATCCCGCTAGTACAGACATACGGTGATGTGATGGTTGTGCTGGAAAGCTGCTATACGTACGTCCGAAGTGTGGCTACCACCGCTGCCATCGTCATCATCGTCATCCATGAGGCTCTTCAGCTGAGCAGCATGCTTCTCCTGCAGAGACTGGTAAGCTATAGGGTTTGCCAGAGCATCGGCAAAGTCTGCAAGAAATAGAGGGCACTGAACTGACCGACCCAGCATAAAGCTTCCAGCTGCTGTTGTGTTACCTATCGCTAAATAGAAAAACGCGTGTGAACGTTCATGCAACTGCTCTATGTGATAGCCGATCTACTAACATGTATTAATAGCATGCAAATAGCAGTGGTTACGAGATCGAGAAGAATGTGCGATGCTAGCTGCACGTGAGATTTAGCAAAGAATGCTGAAAGTCTGAAGCTTTAGGGTAAGGATGTGCAGGGAGGCACGGTTAAAATATGGACACTTTCGGATATTACTAATTTAGTTCTACAAGTCTGCTGCAGTGTTATAATAGTATTAGGATGCCAGGACCATGACATTGCAACTTCAACACAGCCAGAACTATATGCTATGTACCCACATTTGCCACAACTCCTCAACCCCATCCCTACCACCAGTTCCTAACAGGTTTTCCAGCAGAAATATATGTGTGCATATACGTTTGAGTTCAGTGGTCAGGCATGGACATGAGCCAGAAAGGCAAAATCATATAAAGAAACAGAGAGCTGGTTGACCACTAGCAGCTAAACAAGACCGAAGTGAGCGAACCCATCGCCTGATCTGTTATACGTGCGGTGCCTTGAACCCAATAATTTTCAGTTTCCACCTACACCTACGCCCTGTATCATACGCTAGAGAGTTGTTCGATATGCATTAAATATATTCTTATACACCCAGACATGCAAGAGATAAGAGATGGTTGCTGAGAAAATCGTTCGTGATTACATAATGTTACTGCAGCAACTATTAGTATTATTTAATTCTCTTCACAAGAGCCTGCATAAGCGGTTTAATCTACACTCAGCTGCAACCTAGCAGAATTTCTATATGTGATATATGTATAGAGTATATATATATATAAAGGGAGTGTGTTCTGGATTTCACACTCCGAAAACGGCTGTGTATATCAGAGTCCAGTGGCGGATCCAGAAGTGAATTTTATGGGGGGGGGGCGAATCATGCGAGCTGAAGGGCACGAAGCGCTCGAGGGGGGAGGATGTTAGGCTAAAATACCCTTGCCCTGAAAATTCTAAGGGGGGGGGCGACTGCCCCCTGCGTGCCCCCTGGATCTGCCATTGGAGTCAATACAGTGCTGGACGGATAACTAGCAACTATCATGCGGGAACATCAATGCTCACGTACGATGCAAGACAAATTCACCTAGATGTGTATAGACAACGTGTGCACACCCCACATATAAATGTGACACATACACGCAAATTTGAGACATAGAAGATATAATAATTCTGACACACGTACACATAAATGTGACATGCATAGATACAAACATGACACATTTGGAGTGCCAGTAACACCATCACAAAAGAAACACCAGATACAATGCAGACAACTATAACACAAAATAGTTTAGATTAGGATTAGTTCTCACAGGTGATATAAGGTAGGAAAGATAGCATGTAAGTGATATTTATTTTACCATCACGAGATTATGAAATATGCACAATAATAACAGATAATAGAATTATTTAGGTTATACATTATGTGGCAATGGTCTATGCAGCAATGTTGACTTCAATGGTGTTGAAGCATATTTTGTCACGAGGGCTATTTATAGTCCTTAACTGATGATTGATACATAGTGTCTGACTGTGACTGACCAACAAGCAAACAGGCATTCACAAAACGTACGCGCGTGATTTTCTATGACACAGAAGCTGGCTGACGACAAACGAATCCTGGCTCCTGCCTACAGAGGGAGCCACAATCATACCATTACGCATCTTCTGGAAAAGCAGAGGGTTTTCAAGCCGTCTTACATATCCTGAAAGATAACATTCAAATAAAACCTAACTGCGTAACAGAGCAGCGTGCACACATGCACACACATGCTCATGCTCATGCAATCATCTGTAATAGAGAATGTACGCACACGTGAATGTACATACACCTCACATGCACGTACATGCAGACACTACTACTACAGCCTATATATTCATTCATTCCACGCAACACATCCCCACCAACCTAAACACACGCGGACGCGGGCGCACACTCGCGAACGTACACGCACGCACACACGCTAATAACTGGTCACATTACCCCCCTCCACTGAATGTTATATCAAATCTTGATGAGTGCTCTGCGATCAGGCAGATACCATATATGTCTTTGGGTGAATAATAACATTCTCAGCATTGCATGGTAAATTAACCGTTTACTTTGCCTTTAGTGTAAATAACAAACAAATGATTATCAGCAACCTTTCACTATGTCCTTAGTATGAATAATAGAAAACCCATTACCAGAAACAGGTCCGTTTTCCACCGTGCAAATAATTAGAGCACCCTATACGTTACTAATCCTCCATGTTACTATTATTGTTACTAATAAATCAAACGATTCTCAGCTGCACTGTACTTTACTCTATGTGTGAATTGCAAACAAACGCACATCAGTAACCATGACATAAATTTTAATGGGTTTCAGGTACTCAGTATGGATAATATAATATATTATATATATTATATATAACCACAATTGTAACCTTTACCTCACAATCCAATACTCTTTGTTAAATATCTCTGACCTGATGTTATTGTTTAGTGAATATTAGGTAAAGCTGACTCTGTACTCAACCCTACAGTAGTGTTTAGCACACACATTCACTATACATATCCCATTACCTGCAAATGCATCTGGAACGTAATCACGCACTTTGATGTACAAGAAAAGTGCGGATGGGAGGCTGAGGGGCTGGTCAGACTCATTGCGCAGACCCATGTGTCTGTACCCCGGCCTCAGGCCCATGATTGGGATCACTCGATGACCTATCAACTTTCCAGTATCCTCGTAAGCAGCAATGCGCACACAGGCCAGGTCAGGTAGCACGATCTGAGGATAGTAACACATTCATATATCACCTGTGTTTCCTCAAATTCCGCATCGTTGAGTTGTATATGTCATCAATACGGATGTTGTTAACAATGTCTAGCTTTGTCACTATCAGGTACCACCACTGCTGTTGATATTTGATCATTCATGCTGCCATCTTTGCTGTGGTTATTAGCGATGCCTCAGTGAGTACTGCTCTTGCTGATAGTAATGTAACTGTCCATCAACACTTTTGCCACCGTTGGCATCATATTGTTGCTGTTGCTGATAATATCAGTGCAATTAGTATTGCAGATGGTGTAAAAATCTACATATCATCATCCTTTCTATTGAGTGTTATTATATGGGAGACTTGACTTGATTATATGACGGCTTGTTACTCACCTTTTTAAAGACGAAAGGCTCTTCATTGTAGACAGCGTTAATGCCATTATTTGGAACTGTTTTTGTACGAAACTGTTTCCTCTTTGTATCACATGGCAATCCAAACATATCGACCTCAACGTAAGTTCCACATCGTTTATCTGACAAAAACTGGCCAGATATCACCTGCAACAGGATGCCAACGTCCCTGATCAAGTTATTCTGGATTTACAGTAATTGACACGTTTCAGTGAACAATTTATACAGAGCACATTAATCAGAACGTATGAGTGAAAGAAGGGGAAGCGAGAGAAAGAGGAGGAAGGTAACAGGAAGGCTGGTGGAAGACAAAAAAGAGATATATAGTGTACAGGTCCGAAAACAGGATGCCTAAAGAGGCGAGAAACTGTAGAATGGAGAGTGAGCGAGCGAGAGCAAATAGAAATATATTGTTCAGGAATTAAAAGACAGGTGTACATTCATGTCATTCACTGGCACGCGAGCACATTTCACCTTTATCGTCAGTGAACCAGCAATGATGCCATCCACGGTCGATTCACAGAATGGGTCAAAGTGACGGTCAGCACGGCGCATGAACTCAGGCTTCAGTAGGTATCCCGTCTTGCCATTGTACTCAAACATACCAAGGTTAAGCTGCATGCCAAGATCTGCAAAAGTGGCGGATGGACAACATGCATGGTTATTATAGGCCTCAGGCATCAAGTAACCGGACGCATGCAGATGGTGGGGTAGTAATGCTGAAGGGGTCATTGTCGTATAGTGTACTACATATATGTACCCGAGATAACTATCTGGTATGGTTGGGGCTGGGGTTAGGGTTAGGGTTAAGGTTAGGGTTAGGGTTAGGGTTAGGTTAGGGTTAGGGTTAGGGTTAGGGAGTAGGCGTAGGCGACTCCCTAGACTAGCATTATATTACATTTATGTATACATATATATATGTACCTCGGGTACATATATCTATTACCCTATACGACAACGACCCAAGCCATCATGCCAACGATTACAATGGTTAGCGATAACGTCGATCACCCGAGTCGTGATGGATGGTTGATCGTGTGACGGGGTATTACGTGTGTGGCCACACATATGTAGGGTAGAAAGTAGTTGATCTTTCGATACAACAATCACTTTCAATCAGGTATCAGGTAGTGCCCAGATCGATTACGTGATCGGTTATGCCAATAAAGCAATTCATCAAGTAGTTATATGTAAAACCCTCGTTTCAGACCCACCCTCTGCCACACCATGTACATTGACTGGAAGCTGCACCTGCCACTCGTGATTACTCAGCTGTGCCTTAAGTGCCCCACCCCAGGAATTTGTGTAGACTATGGACTTGGACAGAAAGAGTGCACACATTTGAATGTACGCATATGGGCATCTTAACGAATCTTAAACTGAACTGAAACTTATCTGAACGATAAGTAGTTGCTATCGTTGTGACAGGTTAATGTATGTACATTGTACAACAACGAGTCCTCGTTCTTGCTGGTTTTAGGTGTTATGAGAGTGGCAAGCCTGTAACTACGCTGATGAAAATATATTCTCTGCGATATCGTATTCCTATTTAGCATATTCGATCGCAGCTGTGGCCTATCTACTCCTCTATTTCCCTTGCAAAGCTAGAGCAAGATGAGGCGTGACATGCAGTCACACAATCCACTACTCACCAAGTGTTTGGAAATTGAGCGCTACAAACTGGCAGCCAGCATTCCAGAACATTTGCGGCATGTAGTTACTGGAGTCAACGCGGGTCCCCTTTGGATATATTCGGCTGCACTGCCGCTTGTTATAACTAGAGAAGTAGTCAAGGTGGTTGACAGGCTGACAGTGATACCTCTGATACTAACATCTGCACCCATAATAATGAGGATGCTGCCTTTTATAGACTAGATAGTATGTGGGAACGTTCTACAGCACAATCCATTACCTTCCCTTTGATACATAGGTCTTTCCCCATCAACTATAAATATATCTCTACAGTATGATGTGCGTACAAGCAATTCTGAACCATGCTTCTTTCTAGGCATGACAATGAAGCTTGGTTCTACCTCTTTCCCCCCTGATATGAACCAGAACAGTGAAGTAGCACTACAGGTTGCATGCAGATGTGGTTGATAGAAGGGGGAAATAGAGAGACACAGAAGTATGATGTGAAGGCAGGGTGGGAAAGCAGGACGATGGGATAGAGGAAGAGGAGAGGGAGGAAACGTGGTAAAGCAGCATGTGAGAGAGAATGCAAACAAATTGAGAGAGAGGGCAAAGGAAGAGATAGTGAAAATGACACAATGTTAATATCGATTGTTGAAGGATACTTCACAAATTCAACAGGATATTCCTTCAGCAAGTTTGTAGCTTGAGATTCAACAAATGACGAGATTTCATAACTCCTTCCCCGCTCTGCAACAGAGTAACAACATAAATACCACTTAAAATGAATATTCTGAGCGGATGTGGATATATGTCGTTGTATGTGGATATATTGTGTATTGTATATATTGTATTGTGTATTGTATATATATGTGGATATATGTGGATATATGTGGATGTGGAATATAATTTGCTCTGCTTATTACTTCGTATTACTATGATGTAAAATGATGCCATTTACAATAGCACATTAACTCACTGTAGTACCAGTAATACTTCCAAAGTACAATGTACATTTACACTGAAATTAAAATTGCACATACAGTGAAACATTTACATCATTGCGCGCATTTTCTACTATAACAGCGGTGCTGAGGTAATTCACACTTTTTGAGGCCTCGAATGTTCTGAAGTGTGTTGGCGTGAAATAGTTGACTAGGGCTGATAGCTCTGCACCAGCCTCAGACTCCTGGCTAGCTGTGCCCTCGTCCTTCTTAGTTTCTTCAGTGTCATCATTATCATCCTCTACAACATCTTCCACAGCATCCTCATCCACACCTGCAAGAACAATAGTAGTGGGTATTGATTAGAATTTATTACGAACCCTGATCGTTGATCACCAAATCATCATGCACAACAAACCTTATATTTTGTTATTATAAAACCAATCCTTAACAGCATCAGCAGTGCAATCATCATTATTGTCCCATAATTTTTATCATTGTTATCATCAGCAGTGCCATCGCCGTTACGGTTAAGGAGGTGTACAACAGTAAGCTTCCGCAATTGTTCACCGTTGCACTATTTCGTCTCTAGAAAAGGCCTTTTTTTGGCATTTTTTTTTCGCCGAAATTCGGCACTAGAGTGCAATAATTTGCATTATGCACGCAAGTTAGATGCCTCGTGGACGTCTAGAAAGCATTAGAAGTAAAATTATTCTTGTTGTGTATTCGTGACATTCCGTCAGGTGGCGTAGCCACAGGGAGGACCGGTTGGTGTTTTTTGTGTATGAAATGTGTTCAGACAACTTTGCAGAAATTCGCACCATAGAGCTGGCAAAAGTTTCGAGTGGAACATAGAGCATGAATCTGTAGTTATTTAACATGAATAAAGTGTATGTTTTGTAAGCGCAGTAACAGTGTGCGTATTTTTAATTAATTTCTGTTCGATGCTTATTCAGGCCTGCAGCCTATGGACGCCCTCTACTGTTGTTCAACACCTTAACGCCGCATGGTAAGGATAGCTGTTCTCCCAAAGAAATCGAATAATTAAGTTTTATGTTAATGAAAATCAGTTATGCAAGTACTCTAGCATGGTTTTAGACACATGCATGTTCGAATGACATTTAAACATGTATTTTATGTAAACATGTACATATATCCGTATACATAATGTACATATCTACATTAAAATACACTCATTTTACACTTATTTGGTACCAGAAAATCGATAATTATCCTCGTTTTACTCTTTTGTGGCACTCCTAACACTAACAGTATCAAAATATCTTAGATTTGTTGGTTACAATTCACCCTAACCCTCGTTCTAACACTGCGCTTAACCGCATAAAGCAAACATTAATTTCCATTCATTTCTGTGTTTTGGGGGCTCATTTCAGAGAGTGATCTCTCAGCTCGTGGAGTCATGCCACATTTGAAATTCGGTACCCATATAAGGGAAAGGGTCTAAATCATTCATCTATAATTTCAAGTCGATCCGTATCTCCGCTGCTTGTTTAAGGAGGTGTACAACAGTAAGCTTCCGCAATTGTTCGCCGTTGCACTATTTCGTCTCTAGAAAAGGCCTTTTTTTGGAATTTTTTTTGCCAAAATTCGGCACTAGAACTGACTAGAGTGCAATAATTTGCATTATGCACGCCAGTTAGATGCCTCGTGGACGTCTAGAAAGCATTAGAAGTAAAATTATTCTTGTTGTGTATTCGTGACATTCCGTCAGGTGGCGTAGCCACAGGGACCGGTTGGTGTTTTTTGTGTATAAAATGTTTTCAGACAACTTTGCAGAAATTCGCATCATAGAGCTGGCAAAAGTTTCGAGCGGAGCATAGAGCATGAATCTGTAGTTATTTAACATGAATAAAGTGTATGTTTTGTAAGCGCAGTAACAGTGTGCGCATTTTTAATTAATTTCTGTTCGATGCTTATTCAGGCCTGAAGCCTATGGACGCCCTCTACTGTTGTTCAACACCTTAATGGTTTTGTCAGAGTCAACATCGTTATCCACACGATCATCATCGCCATCATCATGACGTTTATCCGCATCCTCAGCAACAACACACACAGTGTAACCTGTACATTCACCTTTTATACTCATAGCTTCAGCTATGCAGCTCTACTCTTCTATCAAGCTTTGTGAACAGACGCCAGCTGTGAGCTTACCGAACATTTTCACGACGGGAGTTCCATCTTCGGCTATAGTCTCCTGTGTCATAAGGGAAGACTTTCTCTCTGGCCCTACAATGTGCCAAATGCTTAGTTTAGTATCTTAGTAGATTAGCATGGAGATATTAACTGATTTTGCGCAGACATGAACAGGCGCCTTGAGCTAAGTAATACCTTATTAACAATTATCAAGGTCATGCATAGTAAGTAGGTAGGGATCGAGCTAACACGATTATGAGTGTTTGATCTTTTCAGGCGAAGTTAAACTATTGATTAAAATAATGGTTAATCTTGAAATATACTCGAATAGCGGGGAGGCAATTGTTCAAAATTTATAAAGATTGTGCACTTTGTGACACGAAGTCTTTGAAATTTGGCATGCTGTTAGGTATGGACATAAGGTTTTGAAAAACTACTAGAATTGCACGACTACAATTTCATGAAAATGGGCTCATTTTCAGTTCAGCCTGATAAAACACATTATCAAAATTGACGTTGCTGGCGCAAAATTCAATCACGCTTACCTTTATTGCAACTCATTAGGATTTTAAATGGATAAACGGCAAAATTATACAGTTCTATTTACTTACTTACTCTATTTACAGTACTGTGTTATCCCGACAAACAGATGTCACTTACTAAGAGTATCCATAGCAACACAAGATACGATAACTCAATGTGACTTTGGTATTGGTAGATACATTAACTCAAGATCTAATAATGGAGATCGCATTAGCTCTTGATTAAATTGCTGGGCTATATCATTTACGACATTGGCAATAGTGATATACATGTATTGCGGCCTATATTACCCAGCTAGGTGAACTAGGTAACTCGAGTCACTGTTGGCAAGGATAGACTACTCTCAGTCAAGAAGCACCGCGGTATCGCCTTACGTGGTATCGCGTATCGACGGTCAACATGAAACTGCGCACACGTACCGTCTATAAAGAGGCACTTTCGCAATATTCCCCTAGAAGCACAGTTATTCATCACAGATGACACGATCATAAAGCGAAGCCAGCAAACGCACGGACGGCCAATTCCCTGCAGCCCATACTCATATATCGCTAAGCTAAGCAGACGCGAGGCGCTCGCGTCAGCTTTGCGTGTGAGCACGATAGAAATTCTATACGTCGATTTTAGCTGGCGTGGGATGTCTGCACGCTAATAGCGTACGCAATTGCGTGACATGTTTTCGCGGAAATTGCGCGAGCCGGTTTTAGCTGGCAGTGAAAAACAGTGGTTTTATACGAAAGCCCTACCCAGTGGGTGGGTATAAGCACACAGCGCTCGCCCGGCGCTCTGAATAAATAACGATCAGGCAGCGAAACTTTCAAAGCGAAAACCCCAGCTATTTCGAATCTATAGAAGTCCGAGTGTTTCTACTACCACCTAGCATACTGCCAGCTGGGATTGTTGTGCGCGCGCTCTAACATCTGCTCGTGACTACCGATATTGGAGATGATATTCCCGGTTGGAGCCAGAATGCGGTTAGCTAGCGATGCGGTGGCGGGCAGCCACCGAATGCGTGCACGAAAAATTTCCATTTGCAAAATTGGCTTCAGTAAACGGGTTTGGGCTAGAAGCACTACATCTCCTGTGTAAACTGCATGCAAACGAAACGACAAGCTCGTACACGCTCCCAGGAAGCGAGCACTCCGTCATGTGGCAGCAAATGAACAGTGGCGTCACTTACAGCGTGCTTACTATGACTATAGCTCTGATCATACACGCAGATGTATACACGCGCCCGCACGCACGCACACGCACGCGCGTGCGCACACACGCACACACACACGCACGCACCCGCACGCACGCACACGCGCACGCACCGCTCACACACGCAATAGCGCACGTGCATGCATACACACATATATATTAGCCGTACTGAGGGATGTATTGTTAAGGTGGAACCCTGCAATGCGAAAATTTAAATGCCCAATTCACGACATGTACTTGTAATTACGTGGTCGAAAACAGTCAAAGTCACGCGACAAGAAATTTGGAATTTTTTGCTACTAGCTTCCAGCACTGAGTCGCAGTCGCCCCTAGCACGATATTTGTACGGATATATTTGCCTGATGTAAGATCTAGATGGGTCTGGCATGAGGACGGGTAATGTCATTAATTTCGAACAGATTTATGTCACTAGGAACTACAAACCGTGTCACAATGACGAAAGCTATATGGTTAAGAAGACGATATATCCTCAGAGCTACAGAAGTCGACCATGAGATCGCAACGCTTTATTTGATTCTATCAAAGCAGCTTTATCACCAGATTAGGCCGACTAACTGATAGTATACTTGCAAGTATATATTTTTGTTCTGTTATATAGCCATTAAATGTCAAATAAAACAAGAAAGTACATCTTTATTTTCTTTAAATTCGTTCTACACGCTTTTAAAACGGTACGTTTTAAAATTGTTTATTAGCACAAAACATTGTTATTTAGATAGGACGCCGTCGTTTGCCTAACGCAACCAAATACCAACGAAGCTATGTCATGAAAGAGACGTGATAAGGGTGTAAGCGCACAATACGTTTCAAAGAAAAAAAAGGTTTAACGTTATTTAGCGTTTAGGCTCGCCTGTAAATCACGAGTCATGACCACCACAATGCATCAATGTCGACCGTCAAGCATGCTTCTATGTAGGCTGTTTAATAAGGTGATAGAGCAATGCTAACGAACTCACCACTACTCGACACGGTATCCTGGTGCACTAGAGGTGGCCGGGCCCCGGCTGGTTCTGTCACAAACATACACACACACACACAAACGCAGGTTGAATGACGAACATACAGTACTAGTGTATTAACCCAAGCATCTATTGTAGCACAGGGCAATGTAGTCTGAGTTTCCACTGACCATGCAATGCACACACCGACGATTTTTGGTGGATTTGACCAAAACTCACACCAAATCCACCAAAATTCGTCAGTGTGGTCATTGGTCAGAGAAAACTCGGACCAAGGGCAATGTAGCGAGCATAATTTGGTTAATGGATTCCACACTGGATTTGTTACTATAAATCGGATCACACACACACTTTTAATGATGCTATGTGTGTTACTTTGGCTACCGTTAGTTACTACGGGTACCGGTATTTGCTATGGGTACCAGGTGTTACTACGGCTAGTGGTGGTCACGATAGATACCAGTTTCTACTATAACCAGTTGTTACTATGGGTACCGAGCACGCACGTAGGTGCTGTTACTGGTTAAAAACAGATTCATGCGACTATGTACGCGAGCCTGCCGCTTCAGAGGAGCTAATTCTCCATGGCTGGTGAACGACCACCTCACCTACTGGCCGCGTTGCCTTTCTTTTCTTGTTCTTTACGATGATCTTGCCTCTCATCTGATGTGGGCTGGGCAAGGGCATTCCCGGCTCCAGCTGAAAACGTGCAGCAGAGATAGTGAGAGATAATCGTATAAAGGTGAATAAGTAGTAGCATCAGTAGCAGCAGTAGCAGCAGCAGCGGTGGCAGCAGCAGCAGTAGCAGCAGCTGCTGCAAGTGACACTGGCGGTGGCGGCGACTCGTGGCGCCAGCAACAACAGCAACAGCAGCAGCAGCAGCTGCCTCAAGTGACACTGGTAGTGGCGGCGACTCGTGGCGCCAGCAGCAGCAGCAACAGCAGCAGCAGCAGCAGACGCAACATTGGCTGCGACAGCAGTAGGAGCAGTAGTCAGGAAGAAGGCGAAAGGTGTTCGTGTGCGTGCGTTAAGCGAAGTCTGGACATACCTGCTCTCGTTAGGCGCCGCCACTATATATAGCTAGCTAGAGTAGATCAGGAACAGATGCATCACATCACATCACACGCATGCATATTTGCCCGTGCTAGAATGTTTATGTGCTCATCGGCCACTCTTCAGCCGAACAAGTGTACAAACATACAAATAAATCTCTGTTCTACTGTGTATTTTGAGAACACGTACGTGCTGTCAAAATTCAAACGTGTGTATGTTCCTAATCAAAACACATGTGGTCACAAATGTCCTATAACAATATGTGCACAGATATGGCGTATAGTGTAGAGATGATCTTAAATATGTGCTAATTTAGTGCCCCATGTGACACCAGCACATGAATGTCAATATATGTATACTATCGGGACACATATATGATATGTCATACTAGCTTACATAAATGCTTGCAAATTCACTGTCAGTGCAGACATTTGCTAGCATGAAATATATCTGCTAAAATATGCTTCACAGGAAAAGATGTCCCAACGTATGTCCTTTTGCTATAGATACTTACTAATGTGTCAACGAGGATACACTTGTGTCATCGGTGTGATTATGGCTAATATGCCACAATAATGTATGTATATGCTAACATGTCATTGCAGTGCATAGACGTGCAAACATATTAGAGGCAGATGTAAGTAAATTTAACTATTGAACATATAAATACAATAATATTGATATACTGAATAGATTTGATCGTGATATAAACTAAGCAAGCATACCTATTCCATTTCATATAAGAACACATATTCTGACACGTGTGCTAAAATGACATAATATATGTGCCCGCATATATGTCCTAACAGAATACGTGTTTCCGTAAATAATTAGCGTTTCACGTGCTTACATGATATAAATGTTACATAAAACAAATATTTGTTTACACGCGTCAAATCAGATCAGTTACGTGTACGTGCGTACACTCTAGATGATCAGTCAAACATTGGAGGGTCATATATATGCTGCGTGTCTACACTGGGAGAAACTAATTAATACTGGTATAGCATCTATGAACCGAAACACGTAATATCAAGGGATAAATCTGTTGTATCTTTCAGCACGAAATACAGATGATTATATACTCATTTTAGCTAAATAGCAATACTTACTGTTCAATAGTAACCGAAAATTTAAAATAAACTGGCCATCTAGGATCACGGGCAGACATAATTTTTAAACAATGTTCTATTATATCTAAGGCATCTAAATCGGATGCATGGGCGATGCCAATTTTATGCAACATTACTCCTGAATGTTCACGACGTGTGCTCAGTTAATTGAAACTTCTAAAAATCATCTTTTTAACATTTTAAGTCTATTGGGAAATTCCCCCAATGAATGCAATTCATTAAGGAGGATATTAATTTGGGGAGTATCCCATTCCGAATGAATGCAATAACTAGGCCGATATTCCCATAAAAAGAAATTAGGTTTAACGGATGCATCGCGGATTCAAACGGAAGCGGATGCATCAACGGATTCAAAGTGCAGATGCAAGCAAAGATTTAACTATAGGCCCGTGTTAAATATTATAATGCATCATGTAGGCATAGCTAAAGACCAAGCTCAGAAAGATTATCAGCCATAAAGTTACATGCCAGGCGTGTGAGTTCGGATGTAACAGAGATTTGAGAAAGCTAGTCGCCATATGAAATACAGGCAAAAATAGCGGTATAGCGACGAATTACAATGCTAGGTATTGAGTACAGTTCCTAACTACAGAAAAATTAGTGCCTCGAGTCTTCGCCATACCACGCCAGTGCAGACAAGATGTTAAGATTGGCAAGGAAATAAAGTTTGCAAGCGAAGTCTTCGAAGTGTATCAAACCCTGCCGGCCTCTGCCTGTATAACTCTAAAACTATAACTGTATAACTAATTTGTAAATTACTTAACTCCATGAATGTATTACAACGAATTATTAACCCTGAATACAAGATGCCCTGGACTCAGCTGAAGTCTTTATGAGCGAATACGCGTGTTTCACGTACGACTGAACGTTATACGGAAATAATCGGCACAATAAATTACACGACAGCTAAATAGCCCCAATGCAAAGGAATGCAAAACTTTATGCTTAGTAAGACAGGCACAAATTACCAACAAAGACATTCAGACAAAACTTACCATACACTGCACACGACTGTGAATTATGTAACGTGTATATAAATTTGTTTTTAATAATGATAAGATGATACCCAATCGCAAAAGCTAGGGTTAGAGCTAACTTGCCTTTTTTTTCGTTATGAACCTGTCGTCTTCCTTTTGTATCTTCTATATATATTTATTGTGTTGTCTCTTTATTGTTCCGTCGTTCTCTCCATTTCCCTCCTGCCCTGCCTGTATCCTAGTCTCTCCTCACTGATTTCCCTGGTTCCCATTCTTTCTCTTTCTATCTATAGTCAGGTCCCTTAGGGCAAAATATGGGCCGAATCGTTACAAGAGTAACAAAAGTCTCAAACTTGGCACAGTTGTAGCTTATGACAGTACTATAATTATTAGAGGTGGTGCCTAATGGAGATATTCCTTAGAAGTGAATTACAGATGATGAAATGTTCGAACTCCCGACACCGAACCCCCTCTACCGTGCCCGCCTGTTCTGTACTGGCGCATGCGTATGCGCGCGCGGGGAGCGTGATTTTTTTTCCTAGGTCAATCAAGAACCTAGGGCTCTAGTGAGCGCTGCCATTGGTTGATACAAATCACGTGCCTCAAACTCCTGTTTTATGGTGCATTCACTGCATTGTGACCCTAACCCTAACCCTATTTTTTTTAAATATAAAAAAAATAATTTTTAATTGTTGGAAAAATTAATTATTGTTATTAAATTGTTGTAAATAAATTATGTAAATATTTGCGTTAATTGGAAAAAAATTGTTAAACGGATAAAAATAGAAAAAAGGAAAATAATTAAAAAACGGATGGGATTCGATCCACCGACCTTTCAGCCTGCAATTGCGTGCTGTACTCGTTCGGCTATTGAGGGATATTGGAATTATGAATTTTGGATGTGCTATGAATATTACGACACTGTGACGTCATTGAGCGACGAAACAAGCTCAACCAATAGCAGCGCTCGCTAGAGCCCTATGTTCTTGATTGACCTAGGAAAAAAATCACGCGCGCGGCGTGTACAGGCGGGCGCGGTAGGGGGGTTCGGAGTCCGGTGGTTCAAACATTTAATCATCTGTAATTCACTTCCGCGCGCATATATTTGCTAATATAATGACCAATCGTGCGTCAATATACTCAATATTTACAGAGATTATAGCTAAGACATGTGTCTACTAGGTATCTAGAATTTTCGCGAAATATTAGAGTTAGTATACACTATCCTACGGGCCATAGCCACGCGTATATATTAGCATATGAGCGATACCGTGCGTATATTTTTGGCAATTAATTAAACTATTCGTGCTTTGATAAACTCAAAATTCACAAAGACCATAGCTAAGACATGTGTTTATATGTATCTAGAATTTTAAAAAATGTAACTCATATCGTTCGCGAGATATTAGAGTTATTACACTATGCTACGGGCCATAGCCGCGCGTATATATTATCCTATGACGATACCGTGCGTATATTTTTGGTAATTAATTAAACTATTTGTGATTCAATAAACTCAAAATTCACAGGGATTATAGCTAAGCCATGTGTTTATATGTATTCTACATTACTACTATTCTACATTACTTTCTAGAAATGTAACTCAATTAGTTCGCGAGATATGAGAGTTAATACACTTTCCTGCCGCCTATGCGTAATGTGTGTGGTGGGGGGGGGGCTGTTAACAGCTGCAGTACAAAGCGCCAGTACGAGCGGCGCGCGGTTCCGAACATTTACATCATCTGTAATTGCACTTCTAAGGAAGTACTCTACTTTGCGGCACCCTCTAATATTTATATCGTACTGCCATACTGCTACAACTGTGCGCAAGCGTTTGATTCTTTTGTCAGCTCTGTAACGATCATGAAGCTAAGGGACCTGACTACTATGCAAGCGCGTGCGTTCGTGCATGCGAATATAAGCGTGTGCATGTGCGTGCGTGCGTGCGTGTGTGTACGTTTGTATGTATGAATGCGTCCCCCACTTGTATCTTACTCCCTCTCTCTCATCACTATATGTGCCCTTTATCTCTTCTTTATGTCGCCCACTGAGGGTGTATATGGCTGACTGGCCGGCCTGTGGCCATTCAGGTGGCAGCGCTGTACGTGAGTGCGTGATGGCTGTGTGTGTGGGTGCTTGTGGGTGTGTGCTGTGTGTGTGTGTGTGTGGTGTGTCTGATGTGTGCGTGCGGGTCTGCGCAGTGTGTGTGGGCGTGCGTGTGGTGGCGGCGCGTGTGTTGCGTGGTATGGTGGTGTGTTGTGTGTATGTGTGTGTGTGTGTGCGTGCGTGCGCCAGGTGTGTGTGTGTGTGTGTGCGTGAGCGCGTGTGTGTGCGTGTGTATGTGCGTGTGTGTATGTGCGTGCGTGCACTGTCGTGCGTGCGTGCGTGTGGGTGCTAACGTGTGCCACAGAAACAGCAGTGAATACAAACAGTGCGACACAGAGTGATACACGTGTGAGAAAAATGTGTTAGTAAGCGAAAAACATCACATCTGATATTGCTAAAGTCCCGATGGACGACCATTTCAGCCAAATCTTCAATCACTATCTTTTCCCTCCTCACAGCCTCTCTTCGCTGTCAGGAAGTTAGCGTTAGCATCAGTTGGATTGTCTGCGAAACACGCATTCTTGCTGGTCATGTTTTCAATTGTTAATAAGATTTGCTTGTGATATACAAGGTGAAATAAAAAAAGCTATATTTCCTTTTAAA